AAGCAGTTACGTCATCGGCGTACGCGGAAACCCTGGCTCGAGCCCCGCCAGGAACGGCGATTCCGCATAGGGCCGGCCTGCTCGCCCCGTCCCTCAGCCGGCGAAGGAGAGGCTCCAACGCCAAAGCGTAAAGTAGGGGCGACAGCGGGCAACCCTGACGAACCGACCTAGACAGCGCAAAAGCGCCCGACAGCTTTCCGTTCACCTGTACCACAGCACTGGGGGAGCGATACAGGAGGCTAATCCAGCGGCAGAAGTCGGGTGCGAATCCGGCGGCCTGCAGGACAGCAGCAAGGTAGCGATGGTCAACCCTATCAAATGCCTTGGACTGATCCAAATTGATCAGCGCGGCACACTCGTCGTCTTTTACACCCTCTATGATCGTGCGGATCAAATGCAGGTTGCTCTGAATTGTTCGACCCCTCACAGAACAGGTCTGCTCGGGACCCAACAGAGACTCGGCAACTGACTGCAAGCGCTCCTGCAGGATCCTGGCCATAATCTTTAACTCTGTGTTTAGCAGAGTTATGGGCCTATAGTCGTCTAGTTTCCCCCGACACCCTTGCCCTTTTTCAACAGTGTGATCACACCCCTGGAGAACCGGTCGGGGAGAGACCCCTGCCGGAACCAGTTGTTGAAGACGACCGTCAAAATCGGGACAAAGATGTGCGACAGCCTCAAGTACACTTCATAGGGCAGACCATCCAGACCGGGCGACTTGCCTCTGCCGACCTTCTTCAAAGCCGCGTAGACCTCGCCCTCGGTAACCTCTCCCTCGCAGCTAGCCGCTTCAGTCGGCGAAAGCCGAGGAAAGTCAGCCAAATAGCTGCGAAACTCGTCCTCACGAAGACCAGGCTCCCTGGTAAAACGGCTCTCGAAATGCCGCCGAAACGCCTCGCACATGTCGTCAGTGGCCCGAAGGGTGCGCCCTTCCGGGGTTTTGACTTCACGAATATAACGATCGCCACCTCGACGGACCTCTTCCCTGCGCAAATCTGCGCCCATATTCACGGCTTCGGAAGACATCTTGCTTAACCTATGCCTAATTACCTGGCCCATGTAGCGTTCGCTATTCAAACGCTGCAGAGCCTCCTTAGCTACGGCTATCTCTAGGGGATCCCCCCCAGCCACCGCCCGGGCATGACTAGCTTTAAGCGTCCTCACCTTATCAGCTCTATCTAGGGCGAGCCGTTTGCTGAAATCAGTGGTGAAGGACCTAATTCTACATTTAAGTCTGTCCCACCACCTATTCCCGATAACCGCCCCCACTAGCTCCCGCTGCACTAAGTTAGTCAGCTGCTCCCGGAAGTCCCGCCTGTCCAGTAAGGACAGATTGAACTTCCAGTAGCCAGCCATTCTGGGCCTATGTTCTAACGCCACACGGGCACAAACGAGTTTGTGGTCCGTATAGCCTACCCAGTGGAACGTGGGACAATCTAACAGATCTATGTCGGCCCTTCTCACTAACATTCTGTCAAGGTAGCTAACTACCTTGTCACAAGGCCAGCTACGAGCCCACGTCCACATTTTCCCCCAGGGTGATCGACCCGGTATCTATCAACGAGACCGAAATCTTTGATCAGATCGACCAGGCTACGATCGCCCCTTCTCCCGCTAGCACCCCGCCCCGATCTATCTTGGGGTCCAGGATGGCATTCCAGTCCCCACTAGAACTAAACGCTTGGAAGCCACCAGGAAAGGCCCCAACCGCCGAAAAAACGAAACCCGCTCCTCCTGGTCGTTGGGCGCATAAACCGCAACGACCCGAAACGAACCACTTTTCACGGCAATATCGGCCACGATCAACCGTCCCTCGGCATCGGTATGCACAAGGTCCACCTTCGCATCTAGAGTCCGCTTCACCAGCAAAGACACTCCTCTGGCAGTTCGGTCCCCATATGCTGAATAGACGACAAAGTCGTTAGACAGCACACACGCATCGGAACTGCAAACAAAGTGGGTCTCTTCGATCGCGGCAACATCCACGCCGAACGACAGGAGATCCCGGAGCAGGCGGGCCGCCTTACCCCGATCCCTCAAGCCATTCACATTCAGCGTCGCTATCTTGACAGACATGGTTTAGGCCTGCAAAAAAGAAAGAAAAGAAAACATGCAAAAAGCCTACTCACATACCGGGCGGAAATCTGCGCTGGTAAGGACCCCGACGGCCTGTCCCAGGTTTCCGGTTCCCAATTCGGTCGTCATACGACCGTCCAGGACAATGCCGCCGACGTCCGTGGGATAGGTTAGTTTTACTGCCCTATATAATGAGGGATGGAGCAAAACGGGGACCCTCCCAGCACAAAAGTTCTTTAATTTTTTCAATGAGGAATTGTCCGTTTCCACGATTCTGATTTCGGGGAAGGCTTCTTTTGCTTCGAAGATGTGGTTCCACACCTTCAAGTAAGCCCCCTTCTCCCTCACACAGGTTATTACGCCGGGGGCCTGAGGGAAATTTCTGGGGTCCTCGATACTTTTTACCATCCACGGAGTCCATCTTATATAGTCCCCGAGAATGGCTTTTCTTTGCTTCGACAGGCCCCATTTAAAATCGTTTCTGTCCACCTTGCAAATGGATTCGGGGCCAGCGAACATCTTTTTCTTCTTTTTTTCTCTGGAAGGGTGGGGAGGGAAGAGGTCGATGTGTTGGGTGGGGTGGCCGATGCGTCTAGGGAGGCGGAAGTGGAGGGAGAGGGGTTGGAGCACGGGACGGGGAGGAAGGGTGGCTCCTAGGTTTGGTCGAAGCCACCGATCTTCTTGGTGAAGCAGGGACGGAGAGCGACCTGGATCTCTCCATGCCTTCCTCCGCCCTGCTACTGAAAGAATGTTTTTTGTGTGCGTTTGGTTTCCTCCTCCTCGTCGTCGTCTTCCTCCCTGCACCTTTTCAGGGATGAAGCACGAGGTGGAGGTATTTTGTCCACCTCCATCTGCTCATTCTCTTGTTGTTGCTGCTGTTGTTTTTTTGTTGTTGTTGCTGCTGCTGCTGATCTTTTGCTGTTTCAGTTGTTTCTGTTGTTTTCTCTGTTTAGGCTGGTGCTGCTGTTGTTGTTGTTGTTGTTTTTTTTTTTGGGCTGCTGCTGCTGGCTTTCCTCTGTTGACTGCAGCCCTTCCTCTTGTATTGGTACAACCTTTTCAGGCTGAGGTATCTCTGTTTGGGGGGTGAAGACGAAACTTTCGGAGACTTCCTACCTCTGACTACCTCCTTCCACTCTCCCTCAGATTTGGAAGTCCCCTCCCCCGGTTCACTAGGTGGTACTGGTTTCGCTGTTGTCGGTGTCGGTCGTGGTGCAACTTGTGTGCCCTTTTTGCTGGGGCACTCCTTCGCCATGTGGCCCGACACACCACATGACCAACACCAAGGTTTTCTGCCTTCCACCACGACCAGCATCCTTCTGTCTCGGCAGGTGAGCGTGTTGGGGACGTCCTTGAAGGCCGCTCTGTTCAGGGTTATCTGAACTTCAATGTCTCCCGTCTCTATTCCGGATCTACTTCTGAGGGCCTTCACTTCGTTCACCTCTCCATATTTGGTGAAGAAGGCCCCATCCGGTCCTCGGAGATATCCACGGGCACCCCGTGAACGGTCACTTTGTCCTGCGGGTGCCCATGTATTCAGTTTGCAGTCTTAAGTTTTTGGTACTTAAGGTTCTGCCGGCCAACTCCTTGGCTTGCTGTTCATTCTGTAGAAGGATGTCCCATAAGGCATTCGTCCTTCTTGCTAGCACCTTCGGGCTAATCTGTAGAGCCTTCAGGGCCTCCTCCATACATTCCCCGGTGCTTACTCCAACCAACTTCCGCGTTTTAATGTCGGAAGTCAGCAAATTTGGAAATCGTACGCGGCTCCACTGCGTTCAGAGCCTCCTTAATCGTGAGGAACTCATTTCCATTAAAAGTTGCCTCGAATTTTTCTTTTGATTGGCATAAAATGTTGCCATCCTTTTTTGGAGCAGCCTATTTTGTGACCAGGCCGATTTGGACAGGCGACACCGTTTCTGGAACCGGTGTCGCCGGAATGTCTATGTTGTCATTATCGACCATGGTGGAAACTCCACCACAGTCTAACGGTTTAAAAAACTTTTCAAATGTTTTTTTTTTTTTTTTTTTTTTTTTTAGTTTGTTTGGACAAGATATTATTTAAGAACAAAATAAAATAAAATAAAATTACAAAACGAAGGGGGCAAACCAAAGACAATAATAGTTTCAACAACAAAAGAAAAACTTCAAATTAAAACCGGGAGGTATAAAAACGAGAAAGAATCAAAAATGCCGAGTCAACAAAAGAGAATAAGAAAATAAAGAGAGAAAACGAAAATAAAAAGGACTTTTTGAAAATAAAAAGTAACAAAGGAAAAAACTTATCTGTTTACGACTTACGTTGTCCAAGAAATCTCTGGCGAAAACAAAGTCAATGCAAAAGTTCTTTTTTTTTTTTGGCAGGCAGAGGTTTTTTTTTTTTTTTTTTTTTTTTCCCACTTGCCTTGTGCCAAACAATGTCCAAATTGGTAAATAAATCCAGGAAATTAAAAACAGTGATCCAAGTAAGGTAATCCAAAAAGCTGGTAAGAACAGATACTACACTTCGATCTTTAAAATCCAAAAACCATAAACACTTTGATCCAGGCCTCCGGGCCGAGCTGCCTAGTTTGGGCGAAAAAAAAGTGTCTAAGGATATTTGCAAAGATTTGTTCAAGTACTCCCTGGCTAGAGGAGTAGAAGGCCGTAGATAATAAATTATAGTCTATGGTTGCCGATGTTTAGAATGGCTCAGCATAGTCAGATGCGTACTAGGTATGGTTTGACATCAACGATATTGGACTAGCCGTCCGGTTTCTGGCCTGTTGCTTGACCTAGATCTGCGAGATCGAGAGTTGTGAAGGTCAAGGTCGGCTTTGTAAGGAGCGGATAATCGGCGACCGCGACAAGGCCCTTCCCCTAGAAAATTGATCGTATCAATTAATAATAATAATATTTACGAAGGTCTTTAGGGAAAGTGACCCTCCTACCGGATCGGGTCTGCCGCACAGGAGTCGCTGGGGTGTCGTTTGATGTCTGCGGTGCTGCGTCTGATGGGTGCGCTGGAATAGCATTAGGGGCCGCAGAGCCGGGTTTGCGTCATACTGTCGCTTCTCCAGAAAAGCAGGCTTGGTCCGATCGATTGCGATGGTGTCGGTCGAGTTGGCGCGCTTGATCGTAAGGTGCTTGTCGGTGCGTCGAAGAACCTGAAAAGGACCTTGGTATGCCGGCGTGAGTGGTCGTCTCACGGCGTCGTTCCGTACGAAAACGAATTTGCAATCTCGCAAGTGTTGAGGGATGTACGAATTCACCGGTTGCTGTCGTGGAGTTGCATATTTAAGCCGGGCCATTTTGTGGCGGAGTTCCTCGACGAAAGGAGATGTTGGTTTTGAAAACGTCTGAAGGGAGTCGTCGAAGTATTCGCCGGGTAGCGCAAGAGGTGTACCGAAAACCAGTTCGGCGGGTGAACAACCTAAATCCTCCTTTACGGTGTTCCTCAATGCTAGGAGAATTAAAGGTAGGTCGTCCACCCAATTGATAGTGTCAGGTCTAGTGGCCAGGGGGTTTTAAGGGACCGATGAAACCTCTCAACTAAGCCAGTTGGCGCACGGATGATAAGCGGTAGTCTTTATGTGCTTGGCGCCAAGTAGGTTGGTAAACTCCCGAAAAAGGGACGACTGGAACTGTGACCCCCTGTCGGTCGTGATAACGTGGGGCGTGCCGAAAGTTCCAATCCACTCTTTCAGGATGGTCCTAGAGACTGTGTTAGCAGAAGTGTCTTTTATAGGTATGGCGGTCGGCCACCGCGAAAAACGATCCACAACCGTCAAAAGATACTGGTAATCCTGACACATCGGAAGCGGTCCCACTAAGTCGACATGTATGTGTGAGAACCGTGCATCGGGACTGCTGAAGGTGCCGACGGGGGATTTAGTGTGTCGGTGGACCTTACACTTCTGGCACTCCATGCACGTGGAAACCCATTCTCGAATGTCCGCATTCATATTGGGCCAAACGAATCGGTCGGTAATAAGTTTGACCGTAGCTCGCTTACTTGGATGAGACAGCCCGTGGAAATGTTGGAATACCTGTCTCCGAAGTGTCGGTGGGATGTAGGGCCTAGGGCTTGCTAGGCTGGTGTCACAGTACAGGGTGTCGTCGCTGAAGGATGCAGGAACTCCCGAAGCTTTAAAGAAGTATTCGAAAGGACGTCTTGCAGCGTGGGGTCGGATTTTTGTTCAGCGGCTATGGAATCTTGACCCAAGACGCCGGTCTGAAGAGATTGAATTTCCGCTCGCGATAATGTGTCTGCGACGGCGTTGTCCTTCCCTTTATGTGACGAATATCGGTCGAGAACTGTGACAGGTAGTCGAGATGCCGGATCTCGCGAGCTGTATACTTGTCAGAGTTGTTACTCATCGCGGTTGTCAACGGTTTATGGTCGGTATAGATGGTAAAATCTCGACCTTCCAGTAAATGCCTGAAATGCCTGACGGCCAGATAAATGGCCAGCAGCTCTCGGGGAAGGTGCTATATTTTCTCTGGGCTGGCGAAAGCTTGGCTGAAAAGAATGCGATGGGTTCGCGTTGTGAGTTGAACTCTTGCTCAACCACCGCGCCCACACCAGCGTCGGATGCGTCGGTTGTCAGGAATAGTCGTGTCTCTGGATCGTCGTTGATATGCGAGAGCCTGGTATAATTCGCCAATGCAGCCTTCGCTGTATGGAATGCGTGCAGAGCATCTCCTCCAAAGAGATGTCCTTGTTTCTTCTCTGCAGCAGGTTCGTCAGTGGCTGGAGGATGGTAGCGCAATTTGGTATGAACCGACGATAAAAATTGAGCATGCCGAGGAAACGTCGCAATTGCTTCATGGACGTCGGTGTAGGAAAATCCCGGATCGAGCTGATCTTGTCTGGCAGAGGTGCTATGCCGTCTGCGTCGGTGCGGTGCCCGAGAAAGTCAACGCTGGGCGCCCCGAAAACGCACTTGTCCAGGTTCAACTTCAGGCCGTAGTGCGAGAGTCGCTGGAAGACTTCTCGCAGGTGTTGTCTGTGAGAATCGGCGTCTGTACTGGCCACCAAGATGTCGTCGATATAGGGCGTATACATGCGGAAGTCCGCGCAGGACTTCGTCTATGAGTCGTTGGAAGGTCTGGGCAGCGTTACGTAGGCCGAACGGCATTTTCAGAAATTCGTATAGGCCAAACGGTGTTGTGACTGCCGTTTTAGGGACGTCTTCCGCAGCGACGGGGATCTGATGGTATGCCTTTGTCAGGTCGATTTTCGAGAAGATGCGAGCCCCCATCAATCCGGATGCAAAATCATGGATATGAGGGACAGGATATCGGTCTGGTATGGTCGATGCATTTAATTTCCGGTAGTCGACGCATATCCGAAATTCTTCACCACCAGGTTTAGGCACTAAGTGTAGTGGCGAGGCATAAGGGCTATCGGAAGGACGAATGATGCCATCACTGAGCATTTTGTCGAATTGCTCCTTGGCGTACGCCAGTTTGTGCGGAGCGAGTCGTCGCGGATGGGAGTGTGCGGGAGGACCTCGGGTTCTGATGTGGTGCTGAGTCTGATGGTCACCTGAAGCCGTTACTTGGAGTGGCAGCGTTATATCCGTGAACTGCGTCAGGAGATCTAAGTACTCGCGACCATGGCATGTTGCGACGCTGATTCCTGTGGAGCCTTGACGTGTAGGGGTACCTAAGACACGGAGATTCGTCGTCGTATCGGACAGAGTCCTAGGGTTCATATGGACCGCCAGTGCGTAATGCGCCAGGAAATCCGCGCCGAGGATGGGTACCTTCACGTTGGCCACGGTAAATGTCCAAGTGAAATCGCGTCGCATGCCGATATTCAAAGTAAGGGTCCTTTCTCCGTACGTGTCTATCGCGGAACCATTCGCTGCTCGTAGTTTGATCCAGGGTGGGCTTAGCGGTGTGGTCGTTCTGAAGGGGTACCACGCTGATGGCCGCACCTGTGTCCACCCAGGAATTTCAACTTGTTCCGTCGATCCCAAACGTAAAATAGACGACATTGCGTGTTGGCACCGGAAGAGTTAGTCGTCGCGACTCTCCGGTTTATTCGTTTCCCCGGGCCGACGGGTGTGTACAGGAGGTTTACAATTCCTGGCCTCATCGCCGAATGTGCGATGAAACCAACAAACACCCTGGTCGCTTCGCCGTTCTCGGCTGGGGTTCGTCTCCGTCGAGATGGGGTCGATGTCCTCGTCCGCGGGCGCAGGGAGATCTGGAGCTCCCGAATTTGCCATTGAAGGTCGGCCAACGCCCGTTCCGTTTTACTAGGCTCGTAGCGTTCGTGCTTCGCTATGTCGGGGGCGCGAACAGCGTTAACGCTGTGGTCGAACTGTGCAAAAACAAGATCAGCAGATTCTGCCAGATCATCCAGAGGCGTGGCTCTCGTCATTGGTGCGATGATTTGAGCGACAGATTTAGGCAAATGCTCCAGCCATAAACCTCGAAGAACCTTCTCTGATACGTTGTGCTTTCCCAGCTGGTTCCTCATATATCTGAGAAGCTGGGATGGCGTTTTGTCGCCTCTAGTGACGTTCCGCAGTATCTCTTGGATCATATCTTCCTCGGAACGTCCGGTTCGCTTGAGGATTGCTTCCTTTAAGTGATCGTACGGTTCATGCTCGCGCAAATCGGAGAGGACGTCAGAAATTTCGTCCATCATATCGGATGGGAGTTTCTGCATTACATTCGCGAATCTGGCTCGCTGTGAAGTAATGCGTAGCATTGAAAAGATGGATTCCACCTGCAAGAACCAGTTCTTGGCATTATGGTGGTATGCAGGCAGAGGTATGATCGCAGCCGTCATGTCCAAAGAATCACTTTTAGCCGACTCCATCATCGCTTAGCTGTCTCACGTCGGGAAGTCACCACTTGTTGCGGGGCCGAGTAGGATGTCGCCCCCGCAAGGTTTTTTGTACGATAAATGTGAACAGCCAAGACAATGACGGGACAAAGGCAAAGGTTTTTGTTATGAACAAAAGTGTCGTTTTTATTCACACATTTACATCGGTGTGGTCCGAAAACTGGTTAATCGACGAACGTAGCTGGTTCGGTCGATTGTAGCTGGTCTGGTCCGGTAGTTGGTCTGGCCCGGTAGTTTAGGTTTGGGTCTGGCGAACGTAGTTGGTTCGGTAGAATGTCACTGGTCCGGTCGAATGTAGTTGGTCTGGCCTGGTAGTTTAGGATTGGTAGGTGAGCGTAGCTGGTCTGGTCGAAAGTAGCTGGTCTGGCCCGGTAGTTTAGGATTGGTCGGCGAACGTAGTTGGTTCGGCCGAAATGCGAAGACGGAGTCCCTAAACAGGGCCAAGGCAGACTAGTGATGCTACTTCACAGGGCGGATCGACCGCGGAACGGGATCGCGCCAAAGTGTATCACCAGGCGAAGATGGAGTCCCTAAACAGGGCCAAGGCAGACCAGTGATGCTTACTTCACGGGGCGGATCGACCGCGGAACGGGATCGCGCCAAAGTGTATCACCAGGCGAAGACGGAGTCCCTAAACAGGGCCAAGGCAGACCAGTGATGCTATTCAGGCACGGGGCGGATCGACTGCGGGAACGGGATCGCGCCAAAGTGTATCACCAGGCGAAGACGGACTTTCTTCTGGGGCCTTCCTAAACAGGGGAAATTCGGATCGAACTCCACAGGGCGGATCAACCGGAAACGGGATCGCGCCAGAGTGTATCACCAGGCGAGGTAGGTCAGAGAGGTGTTACACCTTCCAGGGCGGATCGACCGTGGAGACGGGATCGCGCCGAAGAGTAACACTCTCGACAAAAGCACCGGAAGTTCACAAAGGTAGTGTACTACACTTTGATCCAGGCCAAGATTTATTTTGTAAAATTACAAAATTGTGGCACAAGGCCAAAAACGGGGAGGGGGTAAGGCTGGTCTTCACTAACTATCTTATACCTAGCTAATTTGATTCACGACCCATTCAGACATTACAATTTGCTCATTCACCATAAGAACTCGTCCATCATCAGTCAATCCTCCTTGCACCATAATACCACATCCACTCTAGGGAGACTTACAAAAAACGCGCCCCATGTCATAATGATCCTAACACATATGTACAAAAAAAATCTAAGATGAAAAAAATGAAATGGGGGAGGGATGTGAACCCAATAACAAACTAAAATATTAACATAAATGAAAATAAAACGTTAACTGATGTTAGTAGGGCCCTTCCAACCCTCAAAATGCAGGGAGACCACTGTATTCTGCCCACTGGAACAAAATCAAGCAGCTCTCTCGCTAAGGGAGGGGAAAGGTGATAAAAATCATACGGGCATGGGGAATATAAAGCTGACCCAGTCGAGATAAAAAGTGGGGGATCAAAAAACAAACTGGGGAGGTTGGGAATCTCAGGCTGGATCATAACTAAAGATGTGGCCAGGGACAGGCCGGGAACAACACTTACTCGCATTAACTAGGTACACCAAAGCTTGTCTAACCTAACCAAGGGGAGGGCACCACAGGAAGCCACCCCGATGTAACGTAGGCTTGACCTAAAACAGAAAATCAAGGCTAGCCCCGTTCACACGAACCAAGCTCGCCTCAGTCACCCACCTTTCGCTGAAGACTGTCGAATGCAAGCGTTTTCTATCAGTTCTGATCTTCATCTTGAGCTGATGCTCAAAGAATCGATTCAGATCCTGATGAGAAAGACGGATACCTCGCAAGACTTCCTCCTCTCGCGTCGTCCATATCACCATTCGGGCCGTGGCTAGCAGCATGAGAAACACCATCCGTTTCACCCCGGAATACGGGGGCGACACATTGTCACACGCGTATGCGCGATCCATGGGCACAAGCTTTTCGGGAGCGAGACGAGCCGTCAGCTCGCCGACATGGTCCCATAGGGGGCGGACACGGGGGCAATGGAAGAAGGCGTGCGAAGCCGTTTCCTCTAGACCAAGGCCGCACCGTTCACAGTCTGGCAAATCCGCCAAACCCCATATGAAGGCCATGTCGTTGAGAGGCAGCCGATTCCGAGCCAGTCGCCAGGTAAGCGAAAACTCAGGGTTACTGAGGTAATCCGCCGCTGGCGCCCAAGACCAGTGAGAGCGAAACTCATCCTCCGACATGTCGAGATCCTCACGTAGGGGATCCTTCGCGACCCCTCCACTAACAAACGATAGAAGACCTTCCTAGGCCGAGAAAGGTCACTGGACCAAGGGACAGCCAACAAGGCCGACCGACACTCGCGAAAGAAATCCGATTGAACCCGGGGTTTACGACGGCGATCCACCCGCCAGATTGGGGGACTGATGGTAAGGCGAGGGAAGGCGGCCCTCACAATCCCCTCAATAATCGGATCTCTACCTGTCAAAGCGCGGCGTAGGAAAGCCAACCTCGAGGCACGTTTGTGGCTCAGCAAGTGTGGCATTCCCAGCCCCCCATGACACGGACGTTGTGCACAGACTTCTCTGTCGACCTGATTCGCGCGTCTCCTCCACAGAATGGAGGTTAGCGCGCGCTCGAGCGGTATCCTGTGGTCGTCACAGAGAGGAAGTACGGACAATCGATAAAGGACAAGAGGGAAAATGTATGTAGCACACACCTCCGCCCTGCCCTTCACGGACAACCTCCGTCGACGCCAAGTCTGACCGGCGGCGTAGACCTTTGCTCGTACTTCAGACCAATTCTTCTCCAGCTGGAGGTCGGGTCCAAACCACACTCCGAGAATGCGGACAGGACCGTCCGTCCAACCGAAGGGCCCCGGAAGATCGACCCCCTTCCAGGCGCCTAACCGCAAGCCGGACGACTTGTCGCGGTTAATCTTGGCCCCTGTCACCTTTTCGTACCGATCAAGCGCCTTCTGTACTGCCCTGATGCCTCTGCGGGACGACACGAAAGCAGTTACGTCATCGGCGTACGCGGAAACCCTGGCTCGAGCCCCTCCAGGAACGGCGATTCCGCATAGGGCCGGCCTGCTCGCCCTGTCCCTCAGCCGGCGAAGGAGAGGCTCCAACGCCAAAGCGTAAAGTAGGGGCGACAGCGGGCAACCCTGACGAACCGACCTAGACAGCGCAAAAGCGCCCGACAGCTTTCCGTTCACCTGTACCACAGCACTGGGGGAGCGATACAGGAGGCTAATCCAGCGGCAGAAGTCGGGTGCGAATCCGGCGGCCTGCAGGACAGCAGCAAGGTAGCGATGGTCAACCCTATCAAATGCCTTGGACTGATCCAAATTGATCAGCGCGGCACACTCGTCGTCTTTACACCCTCTATGATCGTGCGGATCAAATGCAGGTTGCTCTGAATTGTTCGACCCCTCACAGAACAGGTCTGCTCGGGACCCAACAGAGACTCGGCAACTGACTGCAAGCGCTCCTGCAGGATCCTGGCCATAATCTTTAACTCTGTGTTTAGCAGAGTTATGGGCCTGTAGTCGTCTAGTTTCCCCCCGACACCCTTGCCCTTTTTCAACAGTGTGATCACACCCCCTGGAGAACCGGTCGGGGGGAGACCCCTGCCGGAACCAGTTGTTGAAGACGACCGTCAAAATCGGGACAAAGATGTGCGACAGCCTCAAGTACACTTCATAGGGCAGACCATCCAGACCGGGCGACTTGCCTCTGCCGACCTTCTTCAAAGCCGCGTAGACCTCGCCCTCGGTAACCTCTCCCTCGCAGCTAGCCGCTTCAGTCGGCGAAAGCCGAGGAAAGTCAGCCAAATAGCTGCGAAACTCGTCCTCACGAAGACCAGGCTCCCTGGTAAAACGGCTCTCGAAATGCCGCCGAAACGCCTCGCACATGTCGTCAGTGGCCCGAAGGGTGCGCCCTTCCGGGGTTTTGACTTCACGAATAT